TTATTATATGCTGAGTTGGATTTTTAAAAATGTTTGATGTAATCCTTCCATTGCTCAAATAACAAATTGGGCATTATTTTATGACGTGTATTATTATATGGTGAATTGGATTTTTAAAAATAATGAGTTAACGTCTTTATTTTTTTATTTATCTACTTTCGAAAAGGAAAAGTTTTACATGTCCATCATTAGTTGATAACGTAGATTACTGAGATGAATATCTTACTTGGATAATCCGAGTTAACTTTTTTTCGTTGTCCACGGTCCAAACTTAACGGATTGGAAGCCATATGAGCATATTCCGTTAACTTGAATTAACGGAAAAATAATATTGACCATTTTTACATAGATTAGTGGCTTTATTAAACATTTACTAATAGTTCGGGAACCACATTAAACAAATTAAAAGTTAAGGGACGACATTACATATTAAACCAAAGTTCAGGGATCATTAGCGTCATTTTCCTAATCAAATTACCAGTTCCTTGAACTTTCACTCTTTTGGATTAAACCCCCGAGCTTCAAGTCCTTGCAATTTACTCCCCTAACTTGCAAATTATTTCGTCCATTTTCACCGTCAAGCTTTTTTTTCTGTCAAAATGTGTAGTGCAACAGGATTCTTCGCTTGCAATGAAGGATTGCACCAGAGTTAGGTTGTTATCGTCCCTAAAGAGAACTTTTAAAAGTCATGAACGTTGCAGGTTTAGCATAAATATATTGGCGGTATTAACGAATGAAATTATTTGGAAGTTGGAGATGGTACAATGTATGGATTTAACTGATAAGGTTTAATGTCGAAGAGGGCAAAAGAGTTCAGGGGAATAAAATGTAAGAATTTAAAAGTTCAGGACTTATCGTGCAAGAGGGTAAGAGTTCAGGGAGGTAAAGTGAAAGAAACTCACACAGTTTTCATTTAAAAGCTCATTGAGAAAGAGCATGGACAACTTCATTCCCAGAATTCTATCTCCAGCTTACGATTCTGTTTCCAGTCGGATACTAGAACCCTCAAAATCAGATTGTTTATTGATGCTCTAAGATGATTTGGTTATAGGTCGTCCATCACATGACATAAACACATGGTACGGCATCGTAGACCAACAAAAATCGGTCTTAGAGATCATATGGTTGGTGGTAATTAGTGATCGTGGTCGGTGAGTGAGTGAGAGATTACTACCATGGATCATCAATAGCAACCAAAAAGGAACTTTCCTAAGTAGAATTAATCAGAGGCGTGCATGGATGAGTTAAGTGGCTTATGAAATGGTTCCCCGGGTTCTTAAATTTGAGCTCTTGGTCGGGAAAATTACCAAAAAAGTCCTAAACCTTTTGCAGTTGTGCCAATTCAGTCCTAAACCTTTTTTTTTGCCAATTCAGTCCTAAACTTTTTGCAAATCAGCCAATTCAGTCCTTTTGGCCAGCCGGCGCTGACGTGACCACCGGCCGGCTGATGTGGCGCCGGCCGGCATCCACGTGGTAATATTTTAATATTTTTTTATTATTATTTTAGAATTTTTTTCTTTTTTTTTTCTTTTCCTTCTCCCCCATGGCCTGTCCAGCCAGGGGGGAGGCTCACCGGCGAGGGCCCAGCTCCGGCGAGGCGAGCTGGGCCACCGCCGGAGCTGGGCGAGCTCGCCATGGCTGGGCGAGCTCCGCCTCGCAAGATTTGGGTGAGGGCGGAGCTCGCCTAGCCATGGCGAGCTCCGCCCTCGCCAGAGCCGGGCGAGGCTCGCCCAGCAGCTGGCGGGGGCCCGGCTCGCCATGGCCGGGCGAGCCCGCCCTCGCCGCCGGCCGGGCGAGCCTCGCCCGGATACGGCGAGGCGGAGCTCGCCATGGCGGGGCAAGCTCCGGCGAGGCGGAGCTTGCCTTGGCTGGGCGAGCTCCGGCGAGGCGGAGCTCGCCTTGGCTGGGCGAGCTCCGCCCTCGCCTTGGCTGGGCGAGCTCCGCCCTCGCCCAGCTCCAGCGAGGGCCCAGCTCGCCTCGCCGGAGTTGGGCCCTTGCCGGCGAGCGTCCCCCCTGGCCGGACAGGCCAAGGGGGAGAAGGAAAAGAAAAAAAATTCGAAAATAATAAAAAAAAATATTAAAATATTGCCACGTGGACGCCGGCCGGTACCACGTCAGCCGGCCGGCAGCCACGTCAGCGCCGGCCGGCCAAAAGGACTGAATTGGTTGGTTTGCAAAAGGTTTAAGACTGAATTGGCCAAAAAAAAAGGTTTAGGACTGAATTGACCAAAAAAAAAGGTTTAGAACTGAATTGGCACAATTACAAAAGGTTTAGAACTTTTTTGGTAATTTTCCCGCTCTTGGTCCATTCTGTGTATTCGAGTGGGTTTCCACCAATAAAGTCAACTTACACCTCTATCATCTCTCATCTTTACTTTACTTATCAAATAAAGCCAACCGATGTTGAAGGGCGAAGATCTCAATACAAAAGTGTATGATGGGTTGCTGAACTGAAGTCTCAGTTGAATTGAATTGAAGTCTCACATTAGACAAGAATGGATGGGTTAAGTGACTTAAGACATGGTTCCATAAGTTCTAGTGACGAAGTTGTGGAGTCTAATAAAACAAATGCCGCTAAGAGTATATATGTAATTGATGAAGTTGTGAAGTTTGGTAGAGAAAAGTAGCCTTGCTAAAGGTATATATGTAATTTTTATCATGACTTTCTATGCCCTAGATACTTGTTATCTATTGGGGCAATCTCTCTTGTATTTGTAACTCGATATTGATACTAATAGTAAAGGAATTGCCTAGTGCGGCATCGTGGTTTTCTCTTTTTAACTCTGAAAGGATTTTTCACGTAAAAATTCACGTCTTTTTCTCTTTCATTGTATTTTTAAGAACTGGTACCAAAGCCTGGTTTGACGGAATTGGAGGAGCAATGAAAATGGACGAAGGGAAGGGGAAGATCGATCGGTGTGTCGGCAAGGACTTTGCTTTCTAGAAGATGAAAATTGAGAATGTGTTGTGTCAGAATAACCTACAGCAGGCTCTATCGAGAGGGAAATCAAATTCGATCAAAGAAGAAGATCGTGAGAAACTTTGGCCATCGTGAAGATCAGCCTCCAAGTTGGAGATTGATGAAGGTTTGGAGTCCAATTATGGAAAGTACTAATACCAAAGGTATATATGTAATTTTCATCATAACTTTATATGCTCTAAACTCCTCTATATGTTGGGGCAATCTCCCTCACATTTGTAAATCGATACTAATATTGATAATAAAGAAATTGTCCGGTGCGGCACATTGGTTTTTCCCTTTCTGATTCTAAAAAGGTTTTTCACATAAAAATTCACTCATTTTCTTCTCTAATTTTTCTTTGTCACATATAGCCTTCCTAATGATAAGGCTAATCCTTTTTTAACATGCGTATTGGGCTATATGAGCTATTGGTCCATTTTGTGTGTTCGAGTGGACTTTCACCATTAAGCGTACTTACACCTCTATCCTCTTTCATTGGGTAATGACTTAATTTTCTTGATAGTTGGTCATGGATCTGAAATGGGACACTAAATATCAACATTCTAGCGTCGTGGCGGTCATAAATTTCAAATCGAAATAATCAATATCTCCAAAATCCTAAAAATATTAACGATGAGAAAACGAAAGGAAAGAAAATTCTGCAACAATTACCCGGTCCCACATCACTCGTTCAATTGACGGCCCCATCAAGAGCTCTGTGATGCATTGCGTAGAGCAATTCTCGATGAATCAAGCTCCAAAGCCTCGGCCAACTTCATGGACTGAAAATCAAAGTCAAGCTCTAGAGTCTGCTCCAGTTCCCAGTGACCTTCATCCATTCAAGTTGAAGCTGATCGAGGCATTCAAACCTTCGGGAAGATACAGAAACGAAGCTCTACTGGATTCAACTCTCGATGACCCCGACATGTTTCGATCTTCTAAGGTCGAGTTCATTCCAATCATGTTATTAACACCCTGGCGATTTTCAAAATGCCAAAGTTCATGAATCAAAGAATGAGAAATTCCGTCAGGTCAAGTCATTAAGATCCTTTCATCGACCTTGATCGGATTTCCATCGGGTCAAGCTTGAATACCTTGAAGAATGTTCGAGTCCAGTGGTTTATTTCAAGATCTAACACTCGAATAGAGCTTCATGAGAAGTAATGGATTGGAGTTGCTTGTAACTAAGCACTTTTGATAACATAAGATCTAACACACGATTTCTAATCTTATTCTTGCACATAAACCTAATTGTGTGCATACATATAAATTGATATTAGGGTCCGTTTGTTTAAAGGGAAATTATTTTTTCAACTTTCTAGTATTTAGACAATAGAAAGCTAATTGATTTACTGAAAATACTTTTTGAGAATTGAAAACAGGCTTAGATAGGTGAAAAATGATTTTTCATTCTAGTAAGAAGGAAATCACTTCCTCTAAATTACCAAATGAATGAAAACTAATCATTTTTTATGATGATTTTCATAAAAAAATATTTTTTTTCATGAAGGTTTAAGTGAAACAGTCACATTTTTATTGTTTTTCAAATATGTGAAAACACTAATATCAAACCAAATCAAATTAAATTCAGCGTGTGCATTTTTTGTACACTTGAAGGAGAGGAACATTTCCAAGCTAATTGAGCCCCTCTCTCTCTCTCACTGACACACATGAAATTCTTTATCAATTCAGTGGGAATTTCTCAGACTGTGCGTTGTGCAGTTGGTACTGTGGACTGCAACTGTAGTTTGATGGACCTTTGCCTATTTGCGTTTGCTTGTGGGAGTGCATCTTTCAGATTGGCATTATTTAAGGGAAGAAAAAGGAAATAAGAGAGAGAGAGGGAGGGAGGGGGGGGACATTATGGTCAATTCCTAAAGGAGCTGTCAATCAATGCTAAAGAGAGAGCAAACAAAATCATGTTATTCCTCCTAATTTTCAACAAATATATGCATTTTTTTATAACACAGATGGACAGTACCCCCTTTATGCTGTCTCCATCCATCACCTCCAACCTCACTTTCATCCTCTTCCCATTTCCACAAAAAGCCCTAGACCTGTTTCTCTTTCCTAAGCTACTTGCCAATCTTGCTCTCTCTCTCTCTCTTCAATGAGTGCTTTCTGAGATTGGGCTAGACACATCGGAGTCTGCTTCCCCTTTTTTCAGGAAGGAGGAGAGAAGAGGGAAAAAAAACACATCTGCCAATCTTTCATTTCATAGTTTTTCCAGAAGAGAAAGTTTCTTCAGAAGCCAACCCAACATCATGTAATTAAGAAGCTAGCTTTTCCAAGTTTTCTTGGATTTGTTCAAGCTGATATCGATGATCCTCACAGCCACCAAACTCCAAGAAGAGAGACAAACCCTAGCTATTGTTCTTGCTCTCTCGTCACTTTCACATGGATGCTGTAATACCTAATCTCTCTCTCCCTCTCTGTCTCTCTGTCTCTTGAGTTATTGAGATCTTCCCTGAGCTGATCATCAAGTAACTGATTTTCAGGTTCTCTCTTGCTTCGGTAACAGTGCAATTAACTCCCCTTATTATATTCCCAGAAAACCCAGCTTCCATACACGGCTTCAGATTTCGCTGACCTATGCATGTATACTCTCTCTATCTCTCTCTCTCTCTCTCTCTCTCTGTTCAGGTGTGCTCTTGGGAGACTTCCTTGTCTTGACCATTAGGCGCTCAGTTTGTGCAAAACATCTCGCCCAGTGATCACACGCAAGTAACTTCAAGAAGGAGCATGATGAATTCGCTTCCGGAACTTGATTCCATCACAGCCCTCAATCCCACCAGCACCAACTCCATAACCACCGTTGCCTCATCATCCTCCTCTTCTTCCACTTCCCCCTCGACAATAACCACTGCTGCCGCCGGCACGGCGGCGACCACGTCGAGCCGATATGAGAACCAGAAGCGCCGGGACTGGAACACCTTCGGGCAGTACCTCCGCAACCACCGGCCGCCGCTATCGCTCTCCAGGTGCAGCGGCGCCCACGTCCTCGAGTTCCTCCGGTACCTGGACCAGTTCGGCAAGACCAAGGTCCACACCCAGCTCTGCCCCTTCTTCGGCCACCCGAGCCCGCCTGCCCCCTGCCCATGCCCGCTCCGCCAGGCGTGGGGCAGCCTTGACGCCCTCGTGGGCCGCCTCCGCGCAGCCTTCGAGGAGAACGGCGGGAAGCCCGAGGCCAACCCCTTCGGCGCGCGGGCGGTGAGGCTGTACCTCCGTGAGGTCCGGGACTCTCAGGCCAAGGCCAGGGGGATCAGCTACGAGAAGAAGAAGAGAAAGAAGCCGCCCCAAGCCCCCATGATCGCGGCAGCCGGTCGGGTTGAAAATCAGTAAGGAAAAAGTACTCTTAGCATGTGGCAGGATCAATAATCGAACTTCGTCGAATTCTAGCTATAAGTTTAAATGGTTAGATATGCGACAGTACCATATATCGAAGTTATTCAGTCTATGTATGTCGTGTCTGCATAGTGCATCATATGGTGAAAGACCTTGTTCTATAAAAAGCACCATTACGATAGCAAGTGCTTGCTCCTTATATGTTTTTCCATTATTGGATGCTAAAAAAGAAGAGAGAGCCACAAGAGGAGAGACAGTGTTATACTTTTAGAAGTGGGTTCAAATTATGCAGCGTATGTATCAAATCTGTAGTGAAGATCCAAAGCGTCACATAAAACTTCCACTTTGTCAGCTGCCTAATGTGTACTTGGCGAAACCCATGACGCTGAATGAGGAGCAGAAATGGATTTGCAGATCTTGTTTGGTTGGGTTTTCTCCCCCATTTCATGTGCCATTTTAATTCGAATCTATTTTTTATTAGGTATTGTCAAATCAACTTGGTCATAAGATATGATGGAGATATATAACTTTGCAAAAAGATATCGTGTCAGATTTGTCCAGCACTGTGTATATATCTTGTTGGGTTTTTGGTATTGCATATGGTACTGAGTGGTGGCATTTGCTTTTCACTCCTTTCGCTTCCCAAGTCTAATTTGTTTGCTTTTCTTGTCACTTTGACATGATTATCGTTGATTTAGTTAGAAAACACGCAAAGTCTAGTGTTTGCATGCCTAATTTGGTTCTAGTGTCGTCGAATGAAAGGAATAAAATAAGAGGGGCTCAACAAAATCTTATGCTTCGGCTTTCCATCTCTTCAAAACCAAGGAATTTTTCATTTTTTTCCATGTGCTGTGAATACTATAATAAAGGCCTCATTTATGAGGCAATTCAGAACCGCCTCATTTCCTTTCATAGTGTCAAATCAATCTTGATGTCCCCTGAAGAGTAGCTACATCATTAAATAAGAGAAGACCATTTTGCATAATGTCTATAACCGTTGACCGTTCTTAGTTGTCTCTGTTGAGCATGGTAAGTTCACATATGAAACGACCCTCGTGTTTTTTGTAAAGAAGAGTCTATCAAGAACAATGTTGATTGCACCGACTCATATGAGTCCGGCATGGTGCATTGCCATGATATATTAGGCGAAATCGGCTCACACTGCTGAACATTCGTTGCATGTTCCAACTTCTTCTAGTTTACGCTATATTGTGCACGAGTGAGGGTGTTCTGGACTTGGTTTTGGTATGGTTTCTTGGTTAAAGGTTTTACCAAAAAGGCCTAAGTGATCTTTGTACTTATATGTGAAGTGAAACAACTAAGCCTCTAGAGTGTATTGTCATATGTGTCAATGATGTTCTTTTATTATAGCTTAGTTTGGATTTATAAGGACAAGGTTCATGTCTCTAGCTATCTACAATGTAGAAACCTTTTGAGACCGTGCTTGAGTTTATAACAACTTGACACAAAGGGGTGATGATACGCGATTGTTGTGAATCTTGTTGGTCATTCTACGCATGATGCATTCTAGGTTGCCTAGGCTTTCCATTGCCAATGATGCTTGGCCCGTCCTTATTGTCATCCACATAGGAAGAGAAAACTAGAGAACCATGCGAAGCACTTAATCATTGGAATTCTTCAATACAAAGGAATTATAATTACATTGATTTGTGGCTGTTGCTTGCAATGGAAGTGCAGAATGGTTTTCGTACTAGAAAGTGGGGACTTCATCAAATTCTCATACATAGAGTATATGCATCCGCATCACCAATTTGAAGCACATATTATACTTAATCATGATGCAGTTGTCTGTCTTACTTTTATATAAACTCTTCTCTGGAGAGTTGGTGCTCGGTAGATGAATTGTGGGGCTTGTTTGATGCACCGGTGGAATTAGAACACACCAAGAGAAATGCTAAATCTATGAGCCATATTTGCACTCAGTAATCCCTCCCGATTAAACTAGAAGCGAAACTGTGAGTTGTTCATGAGTGTATGCGCCTGAGTACGTGTGCTTGAGATGAAAGATTGATGGTGATTCCTTTTTAATCTGCATGATCACGATCGATGTCTAGCTCTAATTCTTTACAAACTTTACCCTGTTGAGCTAGAATTTAACTTCTTTATAGCTAGTTTTTACAAATTTGCAGCACTCAGTAACAGTCTGGACGAGATATCTCGCTGTGAAAGATGGCCGAGTTGTGAATATTAGTTTAGTTTCGGTCACAATGTGCATCATATCGCTCACAAACGGCTTTTGTGTCAATCTGCCTTTTGCTAATTCCAACTGCATGCACCTTCATGCTGAACTTTCTTCGGTGAAGAAGCACTCTTTTTACTGGACTACATTTTAGGTACTGATCTGATCCTCTGAGTATTCATCGTCTCTTCTAGGCTAGGGGTTGCATTTGCTGGGAGGACATACATCCAGTTCTTATGATTGCTGAAAAGTATTGAGAGAAATTTATTCTTGTATATTTCTTTTTTCTAAAGGGTATTTTTCAAATCATTATACTTTTTGTATGATGATTTACAAGTTGTGGACATCACCCAAATGAAAAATTACGCGCATATAAGCTTCAATGGTTGTAAAGCACTAATCCTCGTTTTGGTTCTATATAAATAATACACCATAAAACCTTTCATAAAGTCGGTTTTCGTCTCTTATTACTGGAGTTTGAAAACAACTCAACACAGCAATTTCTTGTTTCTTGGTTTCTGTGAGGCCTGTTATCAGAAAATTCAAAAGTTCTACGAGCTGCTAAAGACATTTGTTAACCAGCTTTCACTTTTGAAGTATCCCCATCTCATTCGAGGGTTTCGCCCAATTTGGGCGCACCTAGCATATTTTTTTGCAGTTGCAAGATCGTGGTCAATTTTCTTCACAATCAACTTCTTTTTTCACTTCTTTGAAGATACTAATTAGTTTAACATGAAAGCTCTTAGTCATGGTTAGAAAGTTCGAATATCAAGTCGGCTCGTTCTTGGTCGTGTTGACTGTTTCTGCAGGCGAATCAAATTCCTAAAGGAATAAGGTTTAGGAATTTTTTCTCATACTATTCTTGAATAATCCATAGTTCCATTTCCGAACTTCTTTCTTTCTTTTCGCATTGCTTACGGAGATTGAAAACTATGAAACTCCGATTTGCACTTCGGATAGTTCTATTCATACATCCTAGGACGCGATTAGTATGAGATATGTCTGAGAAAATCTCGCCAAAGGATAAGTACGTCGTTATTGCTGGTCATGTTCGAGCCGTGTTTTGATTTCGTGTCCAAAATAGCCGTGCCCGTAGGGATGCACGCCGCTTAATCTTTTGAGATTAAAGAGAAAGTAAATTTCTATTCCAAAATGATGTATTAATCTTTTAGAAGATACATTAAGTACACTCGGGACAATCTGTGTAGATTTATTCAATATAAAGATCCATCAGAATCTACAAGCCGAAATATACAATAAGATAGAGATAAGAGCAAGGGGAAGTACATAAGCTTTTTCACGTAGGCCATTGGGAAGTATCGAAGTTTAGAAAGGGCTAGATGTAGAATGCACGATATAAGAATCTACGTCACGGTTTAGATGCCATTACATAACATGACATGTGTTAGGCGAGGCACGCGTGACATGAAATAGGTGATTTGACATGTGACATGTCCTTAAGATACAACATGCAAGCGAATGATTCCTATATATGTTTTGATATGCATGTACTACGTAGGATGGTACAACTCGATTGACTGGTCCGGCGGAAGGCTGATGCGGAATGGTTCGAACCAATAGATTGGGAATTCAAATATCTTGAACGTTCTTGGTCCGATAGTGATAATACATGCAACGTTTTTTTAATCTAATCCATTTAGGCCATCATGTTTTGAATTCATAGAGCATTTACGGACAGCGTGGCTTGGGAATTTGATGTCGGATCTAAGCGAATGAGGTGTTGTTGGAAACATGTTTTGAGCTAGACCTTTAATTAAAAAAAATTATGGGTATTAGGGTGCATTTGATTTAGCAATTGCAAAGCCCTTTGGGGCTTTAAAGTCCATTGGGAAAATGCAAATGGCATTTGGCAATTTTTTTAGAGAGCCTTGAGGAAATGCAACCAAGGGCCTCTAAAGGCCTTGAGCCCAAGGTAGGTCCGGAGGTGCTTCGAGGTGTTGCATTTCCGAAATACAAATACAATTTTGATCTTCCAACTTTGCCCTCGCTTAATTTTCATAATGCTGAAAATGTCTTCTCCTCTCGCGACCTCTCCGACGGTTCAAGCTGCCTGTGATGCCAGATCTAGCTGCCAGCAAGCCAGTATGGCGCTTGCCAGCCACCCCTGAGGTCGCACGACCTCAGGCGACGTCGCCCGAGGCGCGGGAACCCCGGCAACGCCACCTGAGGTCACTTGGGTCACATCGTCTAGGTCGCACGACCCAAGCGATGCCTCTTGAGGTCGTGCAACCTCAAGCATAACCTAGATCGCATCGTCCAGGTTGCGCAATCATGGAGACGCCACCTGAGGTCCCGCGACCTCAAGTTTTGCCCAGGTTGCGTGACCCAGGCGAAGCTTGAGGTTGCACAACCTCTAGCAGCCTTGCCTGAGGCTAGTCGATGGTAGCTGAATTTTGCTTGCAAATATTTTGAGATTTTTTTTTCAAGAAAACTTAGCAAAAGTATTTTACAAAGTGTAATTTTTACCAAACGGCATTTAACTCAAAATTGTTTCCCAATGTATTTTAAAATACACTTTACCAAACACTATTTGAATTTCGGAAAAACAACTTTAACCCAAAGGACTTTGCATTTTTCCAAGGACATTCTCCCAAAACCGAACTAAACGCACCCTTAATAGCTCTTTCTATATTTATTTATTTTGAGAAATATTTGACATTCAACTTCTCCCTCGTTCCAATTCTCAAGCTTGTGATTTCTTCCATGCAATTCAATTCTTTTTTTTTTTCAAATATTTAACGTCACTAATACAGTTAAAAGTCTTTTTCGAGATCTGGGTAATTAGATTTGTGCAAACAAGGGTGTTGCCAGAAAGAATTGTGATGCAAAAAACTATTGTATTATGTCAATTTAAAGGTGGAGAAACCGATTTTTCACGGGTCTTTGTCAAACTTTCGAGCAATCCTCGAACTTTCTTCAGTACCTTCGGTCGAAATCGAGTCCTTTGTCCCACTCTTTTTTTGTGTGGATAGGACTGTTATGAATGTGAAGCATGAGAAATGTTTAATGCATCAAAAGAGAGTCGGGACAGACCTGGAAAACAAAAAAAAGGGTTCGGATGGGCCGTGCGTGCCGGCCTGGCCGATGCTCCGGGCCCATGCCCATCACGGGGCCGGCCTATTATTTAACTTTTTTTTTTACCGTAAAAAAGTCGAATTCTAGTATGATCCCCCCCAAAAAAAAGTATTTCATTTATTGACTGTCAATTGTAAGGTGAAATCGAAATAAATGGACCACCCGGACATATTGCGACTGAGGTAGACTCGGGCACGAGTGGCTCCTCTCCATTTTTAGACCATAGGCGAAACTTCACTAGTGTTATTTTACAAACTATGCGACTGGTGTTGATCCGGCAATTACCTGATCACGAAGAATTGCCACACGTTAGAGGCTGCTCTCCTCGTAGGATGAGCCAAACGGTACAATTCTCGTTCGATATGCTTGCGGATTGTGAAGCATGAAAGAGTCGTGCGTGCGTGCGTGCTTGTTGTAGAGGAATTTGTGGTTTGCCGTTGGCCCAAATGCCCCCTATCTATGGAACAAGTTTTTAGTGTTGAAGGGTCGGTTTGCTTTGCAAAAAAAAATTAGTATTTTTGGAAAATGCTTTTTAATAAGTCATTTTCCAGAAAAAAATGACAATATTCTCAGTATTTGGCTGAAATTTGAAAATGAATTGGAAATTATTTTCCGTCGTTTGGAAAGGAGAACCTGATTTTATTTCTTAAAAGACATTCAATATTTGTGTGATAAAAGGGATGCCTAATCGCTCAGGTCCCGATCATAGGAGCTGGGGTTTCTCGGGTTAAAACCATTGAAAACCTGAGCACGAGCGACAGGGACTCGCCCGGCCTTGATGGACCTAGGCCGGTATCGATAACTTGGGCGCGGGAGCCGAAAACTCAAGGACGGCCACCAGGGAGCCCAGCACGAGCACTGGAGTCTTGGCCCTAATCTCGAGGGACTTGGGCCTAGCCTTTATGGACTCGAGCTTGTTTGCTAATGAGCTAAGGTTGAGCGCCGATGACATGGACACAGGAACTGAGTACTTGGACATGGATACGGACACAAGCATGGGCACGGGCATCGGGGTCCTGACCCCGGCCTTAGGAGACCAAGGCCCTGACTTGGGCGCAGGAGTTTGGTACCTGAGCATGGCCATCGAGGACCTAGGCATGGGCATTAAGATCTCGGGCCCGGCCTTTTTGTGGACTTGTGCTTAAACGCCAATGACTTGAGTACCGGAGCCGAGTACTTGGGCACAATCACAAGACGCTCGCATGGGTACTAGGGACTCATGCCCGGCCTTCGTGGACCTGTGCCAAAGCGTTGATGACTTGGGCGTAAGAGGCAGGTACCTGGGCACCGTCGTCGATAACCCGAGCATGGGCACCAGGGTCTGGGGCCTGACCTCAAGCCCAACCTTTGTGGACCTGAACCCAGTTTTTGAGGAGCTAGCTCTTGCCTTAATGGACTTGGACCAAGATGTGGGCATCGGGGTCTCAGGCTTGACCTCTATTGACCCGAGCTCGACCTTCAAGGACCTAGGCTTAGGCATAAGTGTTCCCCATGCCCAAGTGCCGAGGTCTTTGGTCTAAGCGTCGATGTTTGGTCATATTTTAGAAAAATGATTATTGATTGTTAAAAGCGAAAATCATTTTTCTAAATTTTAAGCATATATTTCTATTGACTATGAAAAGATTATCCGTTCACTCATTTTCCTGAGAGATTCAAATGCCGAAAAGGAAAAGGGCCTCGCCAGCCAGGCCTAGCAAGTTCCATTATGCTAAAAGACCGTGCCAAGCCGAACCCATCTCATGCCACCCATCTGTTGGGACTTTGGGGGCCATGAGCAGTAGTAGCCCGACGGCTACGGAATCGGTGGGCCTCAACTACTAAACGGCAAACGGCCTCTGATTTGACCAGTGGTCATCGGCCCGGGCCTCGGCACGGCATGGCCAGGGCCGAGCGGGCATGAACCACCACTACATGGCACAATGGCTCCTCAAACCAGGGGGGGTGGAAATGAAGGCAGAAGTTGATTAAATGGAAAGGGCGGGACCTCAAAAATCCACGAGCCTCATCGCGACGGTGGCGCTCGGCCTCGATCGTCATCGTTGAGGGCGAGACCTTATCCTCCCTCAAAACGAATTCAGCAAAAATCCTCTTTTGACTTTGGTGGGTTAAAGCAACGATAGATCTCAATCTCGTGAAGGTAACCACCAAGTTTCATCCGCAAACATTATCAGCTCCCGCTTTCTCTTTTTTTTTCAAGAACTGAAAAATGCTTGCTTTTTAAATTCCTTTATCGGATAAGGACACTAGTAGTCTCTAAACTTTGACTCAATGTATAACGTGGCTCATGAATTTTTAATTTGTTCAATGTGGTCTATGAGATTTTGCCCGATGTGCAATATGGTCCCTAAACTCTTAAATTGTTCAGTGTGATCCCCAGATTTTTTATCCACGTTCAATTTAGTCCCTAAATTTTATGAAAATATTCAATGTTGTCTAGACCACATTGCACATTGTGCTAGAGTTTAGGGATTATATCGAACAAATTAAAAGTTCATGAATCACCCAAAGTTAGGGAACCATTTGTATCGTTATTTCTTATCTTTTAATCGCGTTCGCATATTTATCGATAGGTATTACTTTTCAAAGTGCACATCGAAAATCTGCCCCATCCATCACAATAGATTGAATCCGATCCCATTCCATCCCCTCGTGTGATCGAATCGGCCCCGAAAGAACTGGCGGCGCAGCCCCACGCGAACCGGCCGGTCCATTACGGTAAATCTACGGTGCCGCTCTATTCCACATGAATTCGGCTAGGACATTAATTTCACACGGCGAAGAAGGGCGTCTATCGTCGCATCCCGTTCCGTCGAGATGGCGGCGGCGGCGGCGGCGGCGTCTCGAGAGCTTCCCTCCGAGCAGCGACGAGAGAGCTCGTAGCCACCGACAACCCTCCTCTTCTCGCCGGACGACCGCATCATTAAACACTGCGAGTGTGGGTGGCGGGGGAAGTGGGAGTCCCAAGCTGTCTCTCACCTTCTCTCTCTCTTCTCCCCCCACACACCCAAAAATAGGAAAGCCAAAGAGGAGCGAACTCTGAGATCCAATCTAGCACACTGTGGCATTTATTCCCCTTCTTATAGAACCAACCCATTGCCTTGCCCCCTCAGATCTCCCCGTACAAATCTTGGGTCCTTCTCTCTCTCTCTCTTCATTCGCACATTCTCTTGTTGCCCACTCTCCGCTATACGATCCCCCCATTCACCCAGTAAGTTCTTCCCTTTTGCCATTCCTCGTCGCCGTTCTCGTGTTCTTGCTTGTGGGTTTCGCGTGAAGATCGATTCTTGGTCCCGGGATCTGCCCCAGAGCCGCTATATCTGGGTGGTCGGATTGGTTCCGTCGTGGGTCGATGCTTGATCGTGGGAAATTCTTCTTGGGCGCTAGATTCGTCGATATCTGCGGTGGAATTATTGCTTTGGGATTTGTTGGGTAGTCGGATTTGTGGGTTTTTTGTGCCAGATCTCCTTCTTTCGATGGATGGGGCTATCTAGGGGTAGCTGGCTCTCGTTTAGAATTCATCATCCTCCCATTGGTTTTTTGATTCGACTTCATTCTGAAAGGAAGTCATTAAATGCTTTTCGAATAAGGAATGTTTCTTTTCCAGTTCACATAAGCTTTCATCTTTTTTTGGTCGGTGTCGGCAACATTTCTCTTCATGATGACAACTGACTTTTTTTAGTTGATTTGCATCTTGTTGCGGCTGGGATTTTCGATTTAGATCTTGCGAGATAATGTTTTACTTAAGTTACTGATCAATATTCAAAATTTGATTACCTTGCCACTTGTATTGCTCTTGTCATTGCTGTGACGGCTCTCTATTCTCTTTTGCTTGCTGGTACTCTTCGGTCCTTACTCTTGAAGTAGAATTGCTTCCTTCCATGTGGTCATTGTAATGCGCTATAGTCGGTTGCAAAACGAAATCGCCGAGTTTTCTTTATAGAAGTTTGCGATGGTTGGTGCGGTACTGTGGTTTCAGGATTTGGAAATGGTGATTGTGCTTGTGGTTGCCTATGGCTAGCCTGTTTATATCAAAGATCCGTGGCTTTCGCATTTGAAACTAGCAATTGTTGTGCTACTTCTTTTGGACATTAAAGCTCAACTTGAGGCTATTCGATCTCGTGGGTGATGGAGAAACCGCCACATACCTTTCCCGTGTCTTTGCCTATGTCGGCTCTCGTCTATGATGAGATGCTAAACATGAGCATACGCATTACTATTAGTCTTATCCTTTAATCCTTGACTAAAGTGAATTTTTTTTTTTCATTATTTATTTCTACTTCAAGTTGATTATTTAACTTCTTTGATCTGATCTTGCTGTTACTGTGAATTTCCAGGTTTTGTTGCTGTCAAAGCTTTAAGAAGGTCTAATAAGGCACTGTGGGTGTTATTAGTTAGCTGAGATGAGATCTACCATTTGATCTTTCAAGATACGGGGAACTGAAAGGTTCATTTTGAGATAGTAGATTGAAGTATAATAAATGATGAGGGGAAGGTCGGACGGATCCCAAAAGAAGCGCTTAATAACTTCGGTGTGTGTTGTTGCAATCTTTCTTGGTTTTCTATATGCATACTATGGATCGATATTCGGGCACGGTACATCAGCCCTGGAGTATGGCAGCAAGTCATTGAAAAGGCTAGGTTCATCATATTTGGGTGGAGATGATGAAAGCGATGGAAAGCAAGATGAGGCTAAGTTTGGGCAGGAAGATGAAGATGATGCGACAGTAAAGAGCTTCCCAGTAAGTTAATTTTAATGGAAATTGCTTCTGTCATTGTTGATATATATGATCCCTCGTTCTTTAATACAGATGGAGAGAGAAAAATGAAAAGACTAATATCAACATTTGTCATCTACTAAAATAGCGTCTCGTCTCAATTAATTTGGGATCTTTCTGATTGCAGGTTTGCGATGATCGCCATTCTGAATTGATTCCTTGCTTAGATAGGAACCTTATTTACCAAATGAGGTTGAAGCTGGATCTATCTTTGATGGAGCACTATGAGAGACACTGCCCTCTTCCTGAAAGACGGTACAACTGCTTGATTCCTCCTCCTCCAGGGTACAAGGTAAGTTCATGCATCATTTTAGTCGTATTGGGGTAACTTTTAGACTTGTCAGTTCTTTGCTAAAATAGCCATTGTCTTTTTTTTGTTCTTATTTGGTTTTATTCTATGCTACAGGTTCCTATTAAGTGGCCTAAAAGCAGAGATGAAGTTTGGAAAGCAAACATCCCTCATACTCACCTTGCACATGAGAAATCTGACCAGAACTGGATGGTTGTGAAAGGCGAAAAGATAAACTTTCCTGGAGGAGGCACTCATTTTCACTATGGAGCTGATAAGTACATTGCTTCAATGGCCAATGTAAGGATGCTAGTCATTGTAAATAGTTGTAGGCCACCTTAAGATTTTGCTGTGTTTTGCTGCTTGATGCGTGCACTTTCAGGGAAGCAGCATATATAAGTTCTTTAGCATGCTCACCACGAAACATCCATTCATGTGTTGAGTCGTGCTTTTTTTCAGTAGCACGTCGTCTAGAAGATCTCCTAATGTTTGCTGGTGTGAAAATAATGCTATTTTGGCCATCGTTTTGTCAGATGCTCAACTTTTCGAGAAATATTCTGAACAATGAAGGAAGAATAAGGACAGTCTTCGATGTTGGCTGTGGTGTGGCAAGTTTTGGAGGGTATTTACTCGCATCAGACATCATAGCAATGTCCTTGGCACCCAATGACGTGCATCAAAACCAAATTCAGTTTGCTCTGGAGAGAGGGATTCCTGCATATCTCGGTGTCTTAGGGACCAAGAGACTCCCTTATCCTAGTAGGTCCTTCGAGCTCGCGCATTGTTCCCGGTGTAGAATCGATTGGCTTCAAAGAGATGGGATTCTTCTTCTTGAGCTGGATAGGGTTCTCAGACCTGGAGGTTATTTTGCTTACTCTTCTCCTGAAGCATATGCGCAGGACGAGGAGGATCTTAGAATCTGGAAAAAGATGAGTGCCCTTGTTGAACGCATGTGTTGGAGCATAGCTTCGAAGAGGAACCAAACCGTCATTTGGCAAAAACCTCTGACAAATGATTGTTATATGGAAAGAGAACCTGGGACTCAACCACCTCTATGCCGATCTGACGACGATCCGGATGCAGTCTGGGGCGTGCCCATGGAAGCGTGCATTACTCCATACTCTGACCGTGAGTTTCCATTTCATTTGTGTTTTCCCTCGCCAAATTTACATTTTTGTTTGCTTGCTTTTCTTACGATTTGAAGTTCCTCGTTTGTTATGTCCTCCTTTTTAATTAAACAAGACTGCTATGGAAGTCGCTTTAAATTTCTTTTGGGTATTTAAAAAAGCTTTTCAGGAAGAAGTAAACATGCTGGTGTAGTTGATATCTTTTCAAACTATTTATGAGGAGTTTCTAGCACGCTCTCTAGTGGAAGCCAACGGTTGCATAAATGACTTCCTGGAAGTTGGAAATTCTAGATTCTCCTCACATTACTCATGCATTCTAATAAACGGTACTTGTCTTGCCTCCAATGATGAAAGTCCTACGTCCTGAGTGTGTAATGGTAGTAGCATTGTCAAATGACCATTTGGTGAAAGTGCAGAAGTATGCTGTCTGATTGGGGTTCCTGAGCGATAAATGCTTGTGTTGATACAAGGCTTCATCTCTACTATTTCATTTTAAAACCGAATGTAAGATATGGGAGGGTGTTTCCTTTTACACATCACGGGGCTAAATATGTCCTACCTGTTAACAACCTTTAAACACTTCTTACAACTACTTTTATCTTTTTCTCTGTAATATAAATTTGCCGAATCTTTCTCTTTCAATCAAGCTCTAACTTTTGCATAATACCTTTGTATCACTGGAACTTGTGTTTGGATGAATTGTTTGCTGAAGAAGTTAATTCTACTGCCGTATGAAAGTGAATCCTTTTAGAAAGGAAAAGATCAATGAATTACAATATGGTGGTGAAAACTTTAAAGAAGGGTTTTGAACACTGAATCTATGCAATGTATTAAAAGGAAGGATCTAGAATTTTGATCTTATGGAACATATTCTAGAAGATATAAGTGGAAAATCTTCTATGCAATAGACCCTGTGTATGTCTCATCCAGTAGATGCTAGACTGAGTTGGAGAAAACAACTGAAAGATAACTTATTTGTTTTGCTTTTATCAGATGACCATAAAGCTAAGGGGAGTGGATTGGCTCCTTGGCCATCTAGGTTGACTTCCCCTCCTCCTCGACTTGCTGATTTTGGCTATTCGAGAGACATGTTTGAGAAGGACACAGTAAGTTCTGAACAGGCTCCTCTTATCTACTTTTGAATGTCTTGCAGAGCAAGTGATTCCTCTTTCACTGGTTTTTCTTCACAATATCTTGGTATGTTCAGGCACATGGATTGACTTAAGATTTTGTTCTCAGGAAATTTGGCAGCGAAGGGTCAAGAACTATTGGAACTTACTGAGCTCGAAGATCACATCGGACACTTTGAGGAACGTGATGGACATGAAGGCAAACATGGGGTCATTTGCGGCTGCACTGAGAGGAAAGGATGTGTGGGTGATGAATGTCGTCCCTGAAGACGGACCGAACACTCTCAAGCTGATATATGACAGAGGCCTAATTGGCTCTGTTCACAACTGGTATATTCCTACACCCTGTTTGGAACTATGTTGGTAACTTTAGTTTTGTTTGGGCCAATCAAAGGTTATGAAATCCCTTCTTCGTCTGAGTAACAGACTTAGACTTCTTGGTGGATAAGAATAGCTTAAATCTCTACTTTTTTAGTAATACTATGACTGCACATCCTGCTCTTCTAATACCGCTTTATAACCAATTGTTTTCAAAATCTGGGTCAAATACGTGTGGCAGTGCAAGAAAGAGTATTTATAGGTGACATCCAATTAGAAATCGGGTTTTGACTTTCCCAATCTTGATAAGTTCTAAAACAGGCTTTGACTGGTCAAAGTTGGATAACATTTTAATGCAACAGGTGCGAAGCATTTTCAACCTACCCTCGGACTTTTGATCTGCTCCATGCTTGGACTGCCTTTTCGGACATCGAGAGGAAAGGGTGCAGCGCGGAGGATCTCCTCATCGAGATGGACCGTATTCTCAGGCCCACTGGTTTCATAATCATCAGGGACAAGCAACCAGCTATTGATTTTGTCAAGAAATACTTTACAGCTTTGCACTGGGAAGCGGTTGCAACGGGCAACTCGAGCTCAGAACCCGACGAGGACAGAGACGATATCGTGTTGATCGTCCAAAAGAAAATGTGGCTGACAAGTGAAAGTCTCAGGGATGCAGAATAGAAAGCGCCATGCGATCCATGTTTCTTTCCCCTGGGTCGGACGAAGAAGCACGTCCGGTGCAGCGAACATGGTGAAGTCCGGAGAATTTTTATGGTTTGTAGCATTAAGTGATGATGATTCTGCAATTGTTTCAGGTTTTTGTCATGATAATGTTTGTTTGTTTGGTAGGCCAAGGACTACCACATATTATATAGGCCATTATTTATTTGTTTTCCGGTCATTGTTTTTTCCTTGTTATGGAAATGCGATAGGTACGACTTCAGCCTGATCATTGATATTAAAGGCGTCGCCGATGTACTTCTCTTCATGTTAGCCGATCCTTTTTGCAAAGTAGCATGAAGCTTTTGGTTGATGTTTCTCTTGTCCCTTTGGTATGTTTCTCTTCAAACGTTGGTAAACCAAGTTATCTGATAGTCTAATCATGAATGCTGATGCAGTGCTATCAATTATAACGAGTACTAGCTCTCCCAAGAGGACCATTTAAGCATTCTGGGCTTGACTGAGAAATATGCAGGAAAAATGATTTAGAAGAGCATCATTTCAGCATTTACTCTTTTGGATGTTGCATAATCTGGTCTTTTTAGGCCTGGGCCTGACATAAACCTTGACTAGGATGGGAGACTGTAAGTCAACTTACCAATTTAATTTTTTAGGCCAGAAAAAAAAAGTTATTTGTAATTGAAAGACCCAAAAAAAAGCTGTGAAATCTGTAAATTTCCTGAAACAAAAGTGAGAAATTGTGCACCTTTTAGGATGGAACTACTTCTTTTCCCCATAATTACTATTTAGTGGCATGACTATGCATTGCATGGATTTTGCATGCACATATATTGCCATTATCTATGGGAAAATTAGTAGAGATTTGCATTAGGAAACTCTATTGGTGTATAATAATAGTATCGACCATGATCTATATCTTTCTATTAGGAGAGATTTAACCATTTTTGTGGTAACTTACGGATTATAGTGGATAGTAAGGGTCTCTTTAGTAACGTTTCTGTTTCTTTGTTTTTCTGTTTTTTTGTTTTCCGGAATAAAAAAAGAACAGAAATCCGTTTAGTTAAAAAAATCTATTTTTTTGTTTCTGGAACAAAAAAGTGTTCCTGAAATAGATTTGGAACAAAAACAAGAAGCAGAAAAAATCTGCTTCTTGTTTCTGGAACAAGAAAAAAGAAGCGATTTTTTTTCTAGAATCCTCCAAAAACAAGAAACAATCCATCGACCGCAACCCGTCCACCGCCGCCTCTTGCCGTCCTTCGCCGCCACCTACCGCCCGCCTTTCGCCGCCGCCCGCCGGCCAACGCCCCCCAGCCGCCTCCCGCCCGCCGGCCACCTCTTGTCGTCGACCACTGTTCTCCGCCGCTCGAAACGCTTGTCGCCACCGGCCGCCGTCCTCCACCGTGGCCGCCGTGCTCCATCGCCCGACGCCGGCCGCCACCTGCGCGTTGGCCGCCTCCCCGCCAACCACCCGACGCCGGTGATCACCCACCACCGGTCGCCGTCCCCCGCCGTCGCCGGCCACCCACCACCTGCCGCCATCCTCCGCCGCCGGCCATTGTGCTCCACCGCCCGACGCCGGCCACCACCTGGCGCTGGCTGCCCTCGGCCGCCGGCCACCTCCCGCCCCTGGCCACCCGACGCCGGCGGTCATCCACCATCAACCGCCATCCTTCGCCACCGGCCGCCGTGCTCTATCGACCGACGATGGCCACCCTCCACCGCCAGCCACCTCCCGCTGCCGTCCCCCGCTGCCGTCACCGCCGCCTGACGTCACCGTGCTCTGCCGCTGACCGCCGTGCTCCACTGCCTCCCGCCACCGGCCGCCATCCTCTGCCGCCGCCGACCACCGTCCTCCGCCCCCCACCGCCACCCACTGTCCTCCGCCGGTAGCCCAGAAGGGAGAAACTCGTCCATAGAATAGAAATGGATCATTCGCGCCCTAAACGCATTTCTATTCTTTTTCTATTCCAGGAGTAGAAATTTTGTGCAGTTACTAAACGCTATTTTTTGCTCAGAAACTGTTCCAAGAAATAGAAATAGAAAAAACTATTTCTGATCAGAAATTATTTCTGGGAACAGAAACGTTGCTATGCAGACCCTAAGCATTAAGCTTTTAGAACTGATGGGGGTGAAAAACTATCAATTTTGCAAGGGTCAATTCGGTCGATTAATAAATTTTAATGCCAATAAATTCCAAAAAAAAAAAGGACCAATGTGAGTGACACGAAGAATTACCACTGCCCATCATTGTAGACATCGATTGCCGTACTGACTACTCTAAGGCCAAGCGAAGGAAGGAAAAGGAAAGTTCGAAGAAATCGAAAAGCAAAAAGGTTCGACATTCGCGACGAGAAGCGGTCATCGGGCGCATCGACGCACTCCCACCGTCCGATTAGGCACGTTCCACACAAAACCCACCGCATTTAGAGATCGAGATATGCCCGATACACACACGAACATCGGATTCTGCTCAGTAAGTTGAAACCATACAAGCGACTAGGGATGCCGAAAAGTCCTAAACCCTAAGGCCAAGCAAGCTGTGATCTGCTCAGGGTGCAATTCCGCTCGGTGGAAAAATGATCTTCTTTTTTCTTCGGGCTGCGTCTTGAGCAATCAATCTCCGTGAATCTTGGAGGCTCCATTATCTCGAACTTCCCCCTTTTTCCATCTTTGCCTCGTCGAAAGTCTTCCTGGACAGCCTTGCACAGCGTCCATTCCGAGGCAGCTGTCTTCATTTTGACTAAGATTAAGCTCCTAAAGGAGGCCTGTCCATTTGATATATCGGGATAGTGGGCTCCACGGATTCATTTCTTATTTTTACATATCGGTGCTCGCATACCTCACACCCCTAATTCTCATGTATCTTTGTCTTCCCCGAGGAGAGGGAATACCCTCTGGAAATTTTATATTCCGATGATCCCGAGGCCAAATGCGGATCGAGATTGAGCTTTTTAAGGACCTGCTCAGGTCCTAGTTGACCAGATTATACACCCATAACAAAAGAGAATAGAAATTAGTACTGGGCATTTCGGGTATGTTCTTGATGATTCCCCATGATCACAAGCGAGTTGAATCATGAGCCATGGCCCTACAGACGATATGCTAATCTCCTCTTTGCCAGATAATCGGTAATTTTAATCCTAGAGATGTGGATCCACGGAAAAGAAAATGAAACGATATGACCAAGCACGATCCTTAATCTCCATGCCCTTCGACAGTCGAGAAACCGCCAGAGTTTTGCCGGGGTTGAGGCAAGATCGACTCGGTTCGATTGCTTCTCGAGATCATGATGTGCCGTCCTGACAACGAATAGGTATTAGGGACATAACTCCCAGAGACGGAGTATCGCGATCTCCGGGAGTTCAATCGAGCCTAGTATTCAGGAGAATCTCAACCCTCGACAAGTGCGGTCCGACCCAAAATATCGAAATCACGGAATAACCCGAAAAAGTGATTTGTTTGATTATCTATTCTGCGACACTGGGGAGTGGGCAAAGCATTCAAACACGCATGCATGCCCGTGGAAACCTTATAAAAATACCTTACAATCTCTCTTCTTTGGTTCTGACCCAGCAAGAAAGCACATGAAATGTTTTGAGATTCCACATACACAGTCAAGTTGGGCACGGGTCCATTCCCTTATTAATATGCCGCAATTGCTATCTCTGGCACAACCATTCCTGAAACCATTCAAAATTACATATGTTGTTGACCTACGTACATATATATACACATGTACATTCTAGCTCGAGACCATGGCGAGCTGATTTATATAGACCGATTGCTTGCTTAATCCTAAAGTTTTACCTGAAATCCGCCTGAGCTCGGATGTCGTGATCTGCACATATGCACGCACACGGCGTACATAAGAATTCAAAAGTGCGTCACGACACGTCACGAAGGAATCACTCGAACTTTTCTATATTGCAATCGATCTCCGACTGTTTTTTTTTTTAGTTTTTTGAGAATTATTCATGACATTCACGTTTGATGCTCTGTCATGATTGAACATTTTTTCCTTTGCGGGTTCTTTCTCGTGGAAGGTAGCACGATCTTCTGTCGTGGTAGCTTCTAGCCATCAGGTTGATTGATGTCAATTTAATGAGGTTGGAAAGGTGACAAATCAAGAACGAACAAATTGATGTCAATTCAGAAACATATTCAAGTGAGCGATCGATGTATCTTGTTCTTGTTCGGTATTACCTGGTTTCAGCTTCTTCTTCTTATTTTTTTTTTTGGGGGTCTACAATTATTGAGGACGAGTTCCTTGTGCATTAGACAACTCTTCTAGGTTTACACGAGTGCAAAAATAAACGTGCATGATTTAGGCTCTGTTTATTTTGTGAATAATAAATGATTTAAAAATATATTTTTCTAAAAATAATTGTTTATATTGCTTAAAATTATTAGCCAACGAAAACTTGTTTTCATTATTGAAATTAATTTATGTCTAAATGTTTTCTTGTGGACGATGAGAATATTTTCATTTATTCATTTTTATAAGCGATACAAGTTATCATTTTTAAGAAAATAGTCTTCGTATCATTCATTTTCCGCGAAATAAATAGAGCCTTAAACACTCATAATCTCTTTTTTTTCCTTTGGGTGCATTCCTTTATCCTATATACATCAAAGTAAACATATATCGAGGAAATAATGGAATTTCCAATTCTGCGTGTATGGTTTACTTAATAGGCTTCAAGATCAAACTCTAACCCCATTTTTTATTACCTTGGCCTCATTCAGCTAAAATAATTGCGGGGGAAATCGCACAAACAGTCCTGGACGTTTGGCCCTACGTGTAATCAAGTCCTAAACATTTGAAATTATGCAATCAAGTCCTAAATGTTTTTTTATCAAGTGTTATTTGATCCTTCCGACGAGCTCATGGCCAAATTTGTTGAGGGCGTTTTCAAAATTTTCTAGTATAGGTATTGCTGGCATTGAGCATTGAGGGAATAATTAGGAATCACCGGTGTCATTATCCCTTTAAGTAGCTGGTAGTTTAGTTGCCTTATCATCATTTATTTGTGTTCAGCTTCTTTCTTTTTTCGATAGTTGCTCGATATATTCCCTTAAAATTGGGCACCATTATGTAATAACCTCGAATATCGAAAAGTTATAAATTACTCCCGTAAACTCAGCATAGCCGTTAGTGTTACTTGAAAATGGATTAACTCATTTTTGTTAACCGAATCAAACTCTTCAAAATTTTCTTAAACTCAATAATTATGCATTGCTCTCTTTTTTCTTGAATTCGCTAATCACGTAATAAAGTTTATCCTGGTCAAGACAAATGATTTAGTC